TCGAAAACACTAAATATACGTTAAGGCGCAAACGGATGCCTTGCAGACGAAATCCCAAAGCGAATTCTAAGAATATAGGGGAGATCTATAAGGTGCCCCAAGCACATTCGGTAATGATCCAGTAAAATTCATGGAAGTTGATCTTCAATGCACCTGGCATTGATGTATCATTTTATTCGTTTCCTTGAAACAATTTCAAATATCAGTTCGAAGCATCTTCCGCTCATAAAGCATCCTATTCAAAACGCGGTGACAGATTCACTGAATTTTTTTTTNTAAATCGACGAGTTCAATGATTTAGCCACTTTGATGAATGCACTTTACGAGGACGCAATATTTATCAGTCCTATGCCTGATAGAAGCAATAATTTCAATGAATAACGGATGTCGGTTTGACCGACTGCCTCCAAACATCAGGATCCAAATGCAAACTTCATTCGGTACATCCGATGAATTAGTACTGTTCATAAAACGGATATACTTTAAATTCCCCGGTTTTACAGCCTGCGTTGAAAGCACTTCTCGATTTTTGAATACTGATTGTTATGCGGTTGATTATAAGGTGATTTTTAGTTCACTGTTTAAGTGATTGATCCGATGCTCATTTTATTTAACGTAACATACATCTCTTACAATTACTTCATTCATCCGAAGACTGCTATGAACTGAATCGATCATTTCAAGGAGGAACGTTTTGAAATAGCCGATGTGCAATTAAGATAATTCAAGAGCACGTTTATATGATTATTTGCAAGTCACACAGAAGACTGAAGAACTAGTCGCTCATAAAACGAAAAAAACCGAAATGGAACAAAAATTTTTAGTTTGAAAATGAGCAAAATTTGATCAATTCATGGAAGTGTGATAAGCATTCAACGTTAGCGTTTTCTCGTTGTCGATAGCATTCAGCCGATGGCATTGCTAAAGTCGAGTCAAGTAACTGATGTGAAGGAAGGCACATCCCACTGATTGAATGTGAATCTCTGATAAAGTTTATCTATCCACTGATGACGAGTATCATCTGCATTCCCAACATTTTTTTCACGCCAGTCAATGGCTACGTCTCCGAAATCAATTAAGATCAATTATCTGCACGATATATCTAACATTTCCGACGCTATCTAACGTGAACATAACGAAAAATCATTGCCGGTGGAATAAATCAGGAACGTTAACGGCAGAAAAAGTTAAGTTGACCGAATGCATTCCAAGCTGCAATTAGATCAAATGATTTCCTCAATCGATTCGTCCATACGCCTTCGTGCGGTATGCAATTGAGGCAGATAAAAGATTTCTAGCTAATGGGCTGGTGATAAATTGGAACGTTCGTAGAGCATTAATTCTTGATAAGTGTGAGCATTAACAAATCGTGTCATTGACTCAATGATTAAATTGTATAAGGAATGCCTCATAGTACACAAATCTTTCCACACAAAACAGGAAAATATCACCGTAAATTGATAAAAAGAATTGCACGACACAAGCACAATGAAAGAGACGAATTGATGAGAATCATCTGATAGTTGTTGTTGAAAGGCTAATTGTTCCGTCGACAATAACTTACGCACTTGTAACCGATTAAGTGAAACATACTCGGTGCATTAACAAACAATTTCAATTGATTCTGAAGCGGAACAAAAATTGCTCAACATCACTTTGACAAGATAATGTATGAATACAAAAGTAATACTGCCGACCCAAATCGAAAACTAATACTGTGCGCATCACTGTGATTAAATCGAACATGCCTTCACAATCTTCATGATGCATGTGCAACAATTAGAGCACGAAAACTATTCAGAGAAAATTCCACCATCGAAAATGCCACAGTATCTATTTATGACCAAAGAAAGTGAGCTAAAAAGTGACCCAAATAATGTTTCCGGAACTTGTTTAGAAATAAAGAAGAAAAATGCTCTCCTCTGCTTCGTTTACGAGTCCCTTGTTTGTAGCATCACGAAAGCACTCCTGGTTACGAGGAAGGACGTATGCAAATATTTCAGTTTTCTGAGCAAAATACCGATAATTCCGACAAGAAAACAGAACAGTCAAGGAGCGGGAAATACGGTTATACGAAACTGTCAATTCAAGTTTGAAACTTTGAAACTTTCGGGGCGCACAAGCCGTAGGATACATGTTGGTTGATATATGACATCGAACTCCTTAAATTTATATTCCTTAATTCTTAATCAGCACATAATCCAGCCAAATCCTTTCATCCTTAGGTTTATATCTTTTAATTTTTGATCAACATCTAATCCAGCCAAATCCTTTCAGTTATTCTAGAAGTGTTTCGAGGCGAGACTGCTTCACAATAACATTCTTTCGAGTATGGCATCCTTATGAATTCTATTAAAAAATCGCTCATTGTCAATAATGTCAGATCATAATTATTAACATCTTCACACATTTGTGAACACGCCATATTGTTTCATAAAAATTATTACTGCACTCGCGACAAATGTTCAAATAAAATGTTTTTCGAAATGACAACGTTTTTGCGGTGTAGTCAGCGATGAGCCTCGTGTCACCGACTTTCTTCTGAAGCCGTTCGCCTGTCTAAAATGCTCAACAACAAAAAAGCCAATTAAACCATGAATAAGATATTTTGATCACAAGTGCGACACGAAGAGTTTGCCCTTCCATTAGCAGTTTTATGACCACTTGGTAATATCGAATTATAAGCATCGTTATGAACGTATCGAAACAACTGCTATGGCATAAAACGCTGTCACTTAAATAGAAATATGAACCCATGCGGTACCACAAATATTGAAACGAAGAGTAGATCTGAAGTTGTCATTTTAAATTTCTCTAACCAATCTGTTCAATCTTGCATCTACATTCTCAATGCACAGTCCGTGCAGGTGTGACATCTGACGGTGACGCTTCTCAGAAATCTCATTAGTAATTCTTGCAGCGAGTTTCGCGTAACGAATACAGATAAAAACGATGAATTGAGGAAACTGTGTTCTTTGATCGCATAATGCAGTTGAATGCAGTACTGCAACAAACAGTTGTGTAATGCATTGATCCGATGAGGATTTTTTGAAACGGGGATAGGATTGTGGCCTTGCACACTACACAAGGGATCTACGTGTTTACTGGGCTCTTCATAAACGTGCGCTTCCAATAGACTCTTAACAGTTGATCTACTTCCTTCCTTCCGCATTACCTTTGCTTTTTCTGATTGTAGCATCACAATTATTTGGCCGCAGTTGCACTACCAGTGATCTCCAAAATATTCTCAGACGTGTGAAGTATCATAATTCATCGGTCATGAGTTTGCTAGTGCATTGATCGTTTGAAAGCAAAAATGCGCAGTTCATTCAGGTTCAGAAACCAAATTTTTTTTAATACACAATTCATTTATCTACAAATAACTTCAAATCCTCTGTGCAGCTCAAAGAGCATATGCTTTAGCATGTATCACTTCAGCATCAGCATATACTCGTATTACATAGCTCGTGAATCAAGGAATGAAATTGACGGTCAAAATTATTCGCATCCCTCGTGGACATTCAACTGCCCATGCAGTATAGAAAAATTGAAGACCGAATGATTAGTCTGGGATCGTTCAATCGCCCCATGATAATGAAAGATTAAAAATTGTTGAATTGAAATATTAGTTCGATCATCATGCAGTTGATGCGATCAGCAAGCAGCATCTGGATGATCATTTTGCATCACTGTTTGCTCCAACACCAGGATGCCACAACTTAAGTGATTTCCCGTTGTCTAGCGTTGCGAAAGTGGCTTCTTTCGGATGCCACCTGAAAAGATGACAGTTCTTAAACACGAATGAGTGGTCAGAATACGGTTAAGATGAGTGAACAAGCATCATGTAGCATGCCATGCGTTAACCACTGAATCGTAAATTACTTCATATTTTCAATCTGAAGTAATCCAAAAAAAAACGTCAACCAAAATAAGCAATGAGTTTATCACGCTATTGAAATGAATATGCGTCACTGCTATGAGCATAAGATTTTCATATTAATTTCGTTGAATCATCTCGTGTAAGCAACGAGTAAGTGTAATGTCACACTGAAAAAAACACTGGTGTTTCCGAATTTGCTAACGAAAGGAGTACGTATTTTCATAACGGTGTGAGTTATTTGCACATGTAACAGCATTCCCTATTCTCGTGACGCAAGTGAGATGATCAAACGAGATTACAAATTTCCTAAGCACTTAACAATTCACTTATTTTCATATTTATTTGAAAATACATTCACCATCAACAGATTTTATGAAAACAAAAAAGATAAAAGAAATTGATTGAATGTTTTTTCTGTACTAAGTTTTTTTAATGATGCCATCAATCACATGAATTAGGAATAGGACGGTTCTGCATCAATCTGAGATGGCCTTACAGCAAATTATCAAATGACAAGACGACTTAAAAGTTCACCTGATCGCCAAGCACTTATTATCCGACTTCAAAACATTGCACGGTACCGGTATCTGATACAAATCACGAAAATCGCACAGACATATACTGAAAGCACTTCAACGCTTATCCACCTGCGATGCATTCACTCGATGTCGGCTTTTATATGACGAGTAAACTGTGATATTAAGGAAGGCAATCTGAGAGACTAAAGAAATCAAATGCGTTAAACGCGACAGCATTCAACGATATTTTCCGCGAATACACAACAAAAATTCCAAATTGAACTAGAATTAATCAAAACTGGAAGTCAAACTTACAATATTATAAATTTTCGTCGAAATCTCCATGAACTCATGAATATTAAGGGGACAGCGCAACAAGTGCGATGAAAAAAAAACAGAGCTGGATGATGTCATACCAACGAACAATTATCACCATACGTTCACAGTAGCAAATTTTTAATCGAAATGACTCTAATTCAAAAAATTAATTTTTAGTTGTGTGGAAAATTTTGTTTCACTTCTTCAGTATTATCGTTCAATTCAATCATTAAATACGTGGTACTTACTCTCCGTTTATGAGCGGAAAAATGCACATTTTATCATTAAAAAAAACGACAACCCAAAAACTCAATTGAAGGAAATGAGAAAATACAATAAGGCACCGACCATTTTTCATCGGATGTGATCAGAAAGCGTTTCGCGTTCGCGAATCGTGCACAAAGCACCGATCTGTCAAATACGCGCTTAGCGCAGATGTGTTTCGTTGATGCCGTATCGAACGAATGCAACGTACCGTCACCATCACCACGTATTAACACACGACCGTTCGAGTCAACGTGAAATGATGTTGATCCGATTGCTGTATTAAATTTCGCAATGAATTTCAAACTGCTAATAGATATGAAAGATGTATGAGAAATATCGCAAAAATCGACAAAATATCTTGGTAAACGCAAAAAAACATGATTGACTGATCAGCAAAAACACTGCATGTGCTCTGCACTTCTTATATTATATGGTCTACAAAATCCACAATATAAGCTGGAACTGCAACATTTATGATACCGAATGCTCTCAGTTTAAAATTCCAGCCTTGACTGATTCTCTCGAGAAGACTGAATATGAGCGATGTATCACCTGCTGGTTTCAGGAGCGGATCGAAAACTCTTACAGCATCACAGACTCGCATGTCCCATATTCGAATTGTTTTGTCTGTTGATGAGCTCGCAAACATGCATCCACCCCATGTGCAAAATGCTGTTACCAAACCTGCAAATTATCACTTTATCATCAAAAATGGATCTGAGATCGAAATGTGCTGCGGTTAGATGCGATCGAAACCCTCGCAAAAATGAAGAACCTAAATAATCGTAAGCATTAACCGTTGTGCCCTTTGAGCGTTCGAAATGTAGCCGCTGAGCAACAATCTGTTATGCAGATCTGTCGACCAACACCGGAAAATAAAATATTTGATCGATTAGCCAAATCTTGCATGAAGGTTAATGCTCGCACTCGATCGTTCATCGATACTTTCATAGTGCGTTGTCCTGAAATTGCGTTCATGAGCAAAAATGAATGAAATCAGACCGAGAAATGAAATATCACATATTTCATTTCTCGTTCTAATTTCTTTTCTTTAACATTTCTATTTTTTTATCTTTTGATAACAATCTTAACAACGTGATAACATTTTTTTCATTTGATAACTTGTTTTTGTTGCCAATTTGATTTTGATTTGATAGTTGATAACATTTGATAAATTGATTTGATAACAAAATTTGATAACAACATAACAACAATCTTAACAAAAGCATTTCTAATTCACACACATATGACATATTGCTACGCGTTACAAATGGATGATAAATACATATTTTTCAATCAATATGGATCGGATTGTAGCCTAAAAACATGCTCAAGAGCACTTTTCAACAATAGGAAACCAGACACTTCCCGAGCAAGTAATGCTCAGTGCTGAAGAGTGCAATCGTCTTGCAAAAAGCTGCCTGAAATTCATACCGATGGCAGACGAATCGGTCCTGAACGAGGATATTTCAATTCTGTTTTCATTTGAGCATGTGGCTATCAGATCAGATGTTGGATTGAACGCGATATCGGTTATTCGAGATTTGTGACGTTCTACATCACCAGTGACCGTAAGCACATCTTCGTCTCTGTAACAAAACATTCATTGACAGTTTGCTGAAAATAACTTTGTTACCATGAAAATGGGCATGATCGTTTGGAACAACAGCTTAGAAAGGCGACTGCAAAAAGCATCTGATTTGTTTCGTGGCTTAGTACACAGTGTAATACACTTCTGATTTTCTGACCCGGTCAATACAATCAAAAATCATGGGAAATCAAATGAAAGATGAAAGGAGCAAAAATCAGATAGTCTATTGTCGCATGAGAATTGAGCCAATCATGTGAAATCATAAAAGGGGCAAAAAGGTAAAAGATGCAAAAAATCATGTGAATTCAAAACGAGCAAATCAAAACAGTTCAAAAACTAGTTATGATCGCAAACTGGATAAAAATTAGGGATTTCGCATCCACCGCATTGTGCACTTCAAAAGCAATTGACCAAACAATTAATTCATTCTCTATGATGAATGTTTCGATGGAACATATCTCACTAGATGAGGAATAAACTAACGATAACTGCAATGTTATGAGATGCCCTTCTGAGTCACCGATCGCAACTGAACCACCGTCAGGAGTGATCTCAAAGCATGATGCCGCATTCTCCAACTCGTAGTCGAGCGATTCCCATTTCACTGTTTTCTTTGCCTCAATTGTATTGCTTCCAGTTATTTACTTGACCAAAAGCAATTCTTTGGGAACTTTTTTAGTTTTGCGACAAGAAATGCTAACGAAGTCCAAAATATGGATGCACTCGTTTGGACTCTTTGAACTCATAAAAGTGATTTCGAATAGAACTCGCCCTTTGCTACACATTCCTGACGACCTGTTCTGTTGCATGAATACAAGTGAAAGTTACCTCATGGAACAGTGTCTGGATGGAGGAGAAATCAGGCGAAGACATCGATTTCTCACTCTCACAGCTGCATTTCAAATTCTCGATCAAATATCAATTCTGATCACCTGAAAGAAGTTTCTGCATGCACGCATCACATTCACAGTGAGTATGCTGATGTTCGAATTTAAGCACGAATGATCACTATGAACTCTCTTCTACATATCGATACTGCTAAACCGAATGCGCAATCTGCGACTGATAATTTTCATTACAATGCGAGACATTTTCTATCCTTTCGAAAGCAATTCGTCAGAACTTCTAAATATATTTTCACGCATAAAAACCCAAATCCAACAAACTAGTAATAAAAAAACTATTTCCTCGCACTCCAAACAAATATAATGAATGAATCTGAAAGGACCGAACTTAGCAAGATCTTTTCAAATGGCACCCAATTCACATCGATCGAATAAAGGAAAACTGATTTCGAAAGATATTCAATAATACGTAAACGTCGCTGCTAGTTTCATGAATGATTTTACGAAATAATTCTCATTTACGTCTGTCTCGTTTTACTTCCATTCAATATCGCTAGTAAATGTATCATAAGATAGTTGATGTGGGCAACACCCAACTATGCGCATAAACGCTGACATTTCTAAAGGGATGAACCGTTTCGGAGAGTTCAAAAATTTTGACCGGACGAAATAAACATTTAGGCAAAGTGAACGTATCAAAATCACCGAATCGAAGGCAATATGTGCGAGGCAGAGATAGGGAAGGTTAGGAATGTACAAGTTCATTGTCGAATCTCAAACGAAGTCATTGAGTTATATTAAACGTTTGCAAAATACGCCATCCACTGACATGAAACATACAATTGCATTGGAAAAGAATCTCAAATAAACGATGACCAACAAGAAGCGAATGTTGATTTTGTGTGTGTGTTGTAATGATGGTGAAAGATTGTGTGCATATCTGACGTTGAAATAAATCAGTTGTTGGAATAGTGATGGGCTGGGGAATTTTTTAGAAAAACATCGAACATACAGATATGATATTATGTAAACACGACCAATGTTAATGCATTGTCTATGAATCCGAGCGCTTTCAAAACGCTTTAATGCGATTATTCATTGTTGTAGATTTTGTTGAACTGCCTGCAACGCATCAAAATGCCACCGAACAAAATTTCATCAAAAGGGCTCATTCGCACGAAACACGTCGCTAGTAATGCACCAAGTTCCTAACAAATCAGGTGACGCAGCTCGCTTTCAATAATACATTTTCAAGAAACGGCAGTAAAAACGCACAGAAACTTTCCGTGTATGTACATACACTGCATTGTATTCAAACAGAAACGTCAGTTCGGACTGGATAAGAGATAAAATGACTAAAATGACGAAAAATTATCGCTGTTGATATTTTGAAGTTATTGCGAAATTTAACAAGACAGCAACTATATTGTGAGGAGTTCTGAAAAAACACTTGAAAATCGTCGAAGGAAAAATCAATTGATGCAAGGTTGAAAACTGAACAAGAGTGCATTATTAACGGTAGAGAAAATAAGATGAATAGAAGAATCAATCAATTGATTGGGATGTAGCTGGTGAGCAATTGAGAATAAGGTATTGCATTCGAAGAGATTTAGTTATTGCTCTCGACTGACCGCATTATTACACTGTGAATGATTCGAAGTGGAGCAAGACAAGGTGTTTGCGATGAGTTGAGTGCGACAGAAGGGANGGATGCAAACAGCAAAAAGCTGATACGACTGGTAAGAGAAACAAACATTTCGGCAGTCTGTGAACCTCATATGGATGTGGCACTGAGCAGGAGTGCATTTCCTCCTCATTTGCTCGAATCAGGCTGGAGTTTAGATTAAAGCTTATTCATAGGGTTACACTAATATTTAAAAGTCTAACATGAAATCCTGTTTAATATTCGACCGTACAAAGGATGCAGGCTACCAGGAAGTTCCTTCCAGCAATTCTTAAATCTTGCTTCAAAACGGAAGACGCATATTTCGTAAGAGCGGTGATTCTGGAAATGACTAACATAAGAGAGCATGTTGATGAAAAGATGTGAATCTGCGAGAGAATGTGTTTAGCAAATGTGTTCATTGTTCGTGTTCGTTATTTTCGAGGAAGATGGTGATCAATAAGGAAGGGAATGAATGGCTTATGTAATGTGTGCATATGGTTGGTTGATCGGCACTTTACTTAGAGAACAGCGATGTAAAGCTGATTCTTTTACAGTGTACACAAAACAAGGAACAGTTGAGCACTTGTGATTTATTAGGGCAACATTGAGTGTAGAATTAAACATCACTGATCTCTTACAGTTCCTTGAATGCAATTATATTCTTCCCTTCGTGATGAGCAGAATCTCTTCGGTTGCTTCCTGTTACGAGGGAGTGGAAATGCAATGATTTTAACTTCTGCTCTAAACATAAATTGCTCACACAGTTTTTATTTTTCATGTCGATCTTATCATTACGGAATATAATGGATTCACCAAAGAAGGCTGGCTCTGAAATTAAATCCAGCAGCAGGGTTCGAGACTCATTGATTTAAAAAGTTCTGGTCTAATGACGCGAAATTCATCCCATAGTGGAGTACGTCTGAAAAAATTTGAAAGTTTTGGCGCGAGGAAAATCCGACAAAAGCAGGTGAAAGATATCAAAGTGAAGGATATCAAGAGTGAAAGATATCAAAGCAGAAAATCAGATGGAAACGGTGCCGTAAGGAAATGGTTCCGAACACAGATACTCAGTAAAAGTTTTGAAATCGTACGATGGCTCACAGTTCGGTTGACGATACCCTACTCGTTCTGTTGCAATGAGGATGCCGTTAAATTAGGTATTGACGCACTCCTTCATGCCTCCTCACCTTGTTGACTGAATTCTCCTGCTTTCCAGCCATCTTTTATAGGAACAAAGTGTCTAATGACAACATCGAGAGGAATTCTGATCACAACTTATGGGGCAGTGATTCTCGCAGCGGGAGTGGAAATCTATTCAAGTGTCTCAAGAATAATTGAGAAATTTAGAAAAATAATATTCACTGACCCTTCCATAATTGCTCAAAAAAGCTTTCGAATCGCACGAACTATGGACGTCGAACCCCTTGATCACTGAATCAATTTTCTCATGACCAACTGATATTTCGACAATAGTAAGAAGCAAACGTTTCTCAGTGTTGGGGAAGGATGGGGACAGAGAATGATGGTCTATTATAAAGCAGAATGGCTACATACAAGATCACTTTATTAAAAACGTCAGGAATGCTATGCGAAACAATTGACTTGTTTCTCATAGCATTGTTCAGATGCGGTTCAGGCCATTCCTATCGGAATCTCATGTTAGCCTTAAACTGTGTCCAAGGAAGGAGATCCCAATATGGATGTGGAATGAGCGGATGTAATTTGAGGAATGTGCTCAGAAAGCACGTACATCATCAAACGAATGCAATTGTATGGAAAAGAAGTAACGACTGAGGGTTCTTACCTCGATGTTATCATATTTATATGTTCAGCTGAAATAACATCACATACAAACTGATGTCACTTGAAGTATTCCATCGTCCATCAATTCTCTTTTTTCCTTGTTTCTATCCATTACGAATGCATGGAAAGTGGACTATCATAGTCAATTCTTGATTTTGAACATTGCAAAATGCCGTCCTTATACGCATAAGATCGCAGGTTTTCAGACTATATCCAAAATAAAAGAGATCGCATCCACAACTAACCTCACTTCATTTCAATTTAATGTACTTCTTTCAAATGACAAGCCTCACATATGGCCAGTTTTCTTCGATGCAAAGCGTTTTTGTAAGTGTTGCTCTTCAATGCACTTTCGAAGATCTTTTTGAACGTTACTTCTGATCATCGCAAAATTACTTCCTGGCTGAAGATGTTTTCAGATCGAAAGAGTTTCTTTCACAAGCCATTTGTGAGACTATTGATCTTTCGAAATTGAACAAACTAACTGTTGATGTCATGGAAGGCACGTTCACAACGCTCAGCATGGCTCAATAATGGTTATCATTAGTGATGTCTCTATTCCAAGTTTTTGAAAACTGTTCTATTCCGCTCCAGAACGGCTCTATTCCATTTAATCCTGTGCGTTTTTCGTTTTAAAACTGTTCTATTCTATTTTGTTCAACCCCTTTAAACTGTGGTATACTGTTCTAAACTGTTCTATTCTGTTGCGTCAGTCAGGAAAGTGACGGGATAAAACTTATGGTAATTAGGATTGGAAACGTGNAGAAGACTGTCCACACAGGCGGTTGACAGCTTTTGACCGTGACGATTCGAGGAAAACGGAGGGTTTTGGGCTTTGGTAACCAGCATCATTAAGGAACAGTGGATTCCCGTTTCGTCCCAACAGTTCGGTCAGAAACTGATGCAGGGTTTCTCGTACAAATGAGTTCAGAATGAACTGATTCTTTCAATCAGACTCAAATCCTCCAAGCATAAACTTTTATTGGAGGCGTAAAATGTTAACAATTTTTGTGATGGACTGCTCCTAGAGTATAGAGTACGACCAACATTTGAATGTGGAGTGTTCATTCGGAAACACAGTTACATCCTTTAGTTGTTTCTTGAGGGAATTCCTCACAAACAATCTTTGGCAGTTTTCAGAATTAACTGCGATAACTTGCCCTTGATGAGCTGTTAAATAATAACAATAATTAAAATATTATTAACAAATGATAATAATTAAAATAATATTTAATAATAATAATAAGAAGAAGAACTAATAATAATTAATAATAATAACAACCGTAATATACCGATGATAATTTATCTCACTGCAGTCTTCACAAAGAACAGTTTAAAGGACAGCCAAAATCCGTTGAAAACTGTTCTATTCTGCTCTTTTGGACTCACAAACGGCTCCAATCTATTCTATTCTGTTCTATTCTGTGCGTTCCCCGTTTGCGAACTGTACTATTCCATTGTTTGAAACAGAGCTGGAATGGAATAGTTTAACTGGAATAGAGACATCACTAGTTATCACATTAGATTCCTCCAATTCCATCCATTCATTCCACATCGGA